TTCTATTTGGTCAAAGCAACTTTTAAGGCAGTGAATCGATCAGTGCAGCCGGCGGTTGGGGTGGTTCATCAGGAGCTGGTTGGAGCAGTTCTCCGGATGGAAGTTTCGGCGGATCATCAGCAAGTGGCTGGGGAGCGAAAGTCGCGAAGCATGGATCAAATAAGCCTGCAGAAAACAGCAAAATGCAATTCACTGGTTACATAACTGCTCAATAACCGATCAAATGTGCTCAGCAACATTGTCAAATCAATAGATAACGCTATGAATCCATACAGCTTCTAAATAAATTTGTACGCTTCTGCTGTGCGAGTAATTCACATCGTTTATATTATCATTATTTAAATTCCAGCAAACATGTTTCCGTTTTCGAAAAAACTGTGAAGATGCGAGACTGGAGGATCTCATTGCAGAAGCCGACATGTTGGCGAAGGTTTTCCGCAGTTTCTTGACGGTAAAACATTGAATGTAATGCTATGCTGTGGAAACAGTTGAATTCGTGTAAAGTAGGCCCATGTGTATAATCACTCCTGACCCAGAGTGGTTCGGGAGTAATCGTACTGAATATCTTAAGGAGAAGAGTAATACAATCACAATGATACACCCAACGAATATCTGAAAAGTACGATTTGTCGCGGAATTTACGACAAAAAGATGGAAATCTGATTTTCCGGTTTGAATAATCCGTTGACTTGAACAAGAAGAACGCGATGACAGTTTCCTATTCAAACAGTGATTTTATTGATGACACAAAGAATAAAATCACGGGGTATAGAAACAAGAAAATCACTGTTGTGTCGTTGAGAATAAGTTGATGACTGATGGACGACGAAGAAGACACGAGACGACGAAACTATACTTTACTTCGGATCAAGACAAGACACAACAAGACAATCAAATCTCACCCTTATATAGAGTTTTGACATGTAAATTTCTAACAATAAGAAGACAACTCATATACAAATCAGCAGATCACGTACGCTAGTTTCATCACGTATGCTAATTCGATCATTACACAACAATCACTAATACAATAATTCAAAACCAATAAACAAACACAATACATGCGATGAATGAACCAACAATCTTTTCACTGTGTTGAGATACTGTGATCGGTTGGTTGCTTGTATTGTTATCCGAGGCGTGAATTATTGTTGAGTTGATAAGAAAATGTATTGGGAATTGTGAATGTCGTAGCTTTTAGGTAGGTTCCCCTGTTCCCGGCTTATCCTCGCTATACCGAACGAAATATCGTTCCTACACCCAATGATAGGGGTATTTTCTACTACCCTTTCAAATGCTTCTGCCCGTTCAAGTGCCTCTTTAGCTGACAATTCCTCATTCTCCAACAACTTTTTCGAGTCTCTACTGAGCTTAATCCGTTCAAAAATACAATGGTTACTACCATCTCCCGCATGTCCTTAACGCTGTCAAACCCACACGTCGCAGCAGCTTGCTATATGATAGTGTAAACCTCTACTAGAGACTGATCTGTTCGCTGTGTCATGAACATCGTCCTATATCTCTCCGCCATTTCAAGTTTCTTTGGAGCGTAGTATCTACGCATCGTGCTTACCAATGTGGCGTCCTCGGGGGCCTGATTTTCTGTAATTACCCCTGACCAAGGGAGGAAGTTGGTCTGGGAGTAACTGAACTGAATATCTAAAGGGTAAAGGGTCGTTCTAAAGAGACAATACGATAATGTAACAACAAAGCAAACAGAAGATACGATATATCACTTCTGTTTCTTGACGGATACGATTAATTGACTCTGGAGTTTGAAAAACTAATCGACCAATTGAAAAACTTTTATCATTGGTTGATCT